CCCCCCCCCCCCCTCACCCCACTTTCACCCCGCCCCCGCCCCGCCCCCCTGCAGCCCCCTGCGCAGGTTCTACTTCTTCGTCGGCATCGCCATCGTCTGCGACGACTTCTACGCCGAGGCGATCGAGGTGGTCGAGGTGCTCAAGGGACAATGAACGACATGTCGCCGTACGTGCCTGACTACTCCGGCCAGGCAATGAACGACGTGTCGCCGTGCGTGCCTGACTACTGCGGCCAGGCAATGAACGACGTGTCGCCGTGCGTGCCTGACTACTGCGGCCAGGCAATGAACGACATGTCGCCGTGCGATTCTGACTACTGCGGCCAGGCAATGAACGACGTGTCGCCGTGCGTGCCTGACTACTGCGGCCAGGCAATGACCGCCGTGTCGCCGTGCGTGCCTGACTACCGCGGCCAGGCAATGTTTGACGTGTCGCCGTGCCTGACTACTGCGGCCAGGCAATGACCGACGTGTCGCCGTGCGTGCCTGACTACTGCGGCCAGGCAATGACCGACGTGTCGCCGTGCCTGAGTACTGCGGCCAGGCAATGACCGACGTGTCGCCGTGCCTGACTACTGCGGCCAGGCAATGTTTGACGTGTCGCCGTGCCTGACTACTGCGGCCAGGCAATGACCGACGTGTCGCCGTGCGTGCCTGACTACTGCGGCCAGGCAATGACCGACGTGTCGCCGTGCCTGAGTACTGCGGCCAGGCAATGACCGACGTGTCGCCGTGCCTGCCTACTGCGGCCAGGCAATGACCGACGTGTCGCCGTGCCTGAGTACTGCGGCCAGGCAATGACCGACGTGTCGCCGTGCCTGACTACTGCGGCCAGGCAATGTTTGACGTGTCGCCGTGCCTGCCTACTGCGGCCAGGCAATGACCGACGTGTCGCCGTGCCTGACTACTGCGGCCAGGCAATGACCGACGTGTCGCCGTGCCTGACTACTGCGGCCAGGCAATGACCGACGTGTCGCCGTGCCTGAGTACTGCGGCCAGGCAATGACCGACGTGTCGCCGTGCCTGACTACTGCGGCCAGGCAATGTTTGACGTGTCGCCGTGCCGGACTACTGCGGCCAGGCAATGACCGACGTGTCGCCGTGCCTGACTACTGCGGCCAGGCAATGACCGACGTGTCGCCGTGCCTGACTACTGCGGCCAGGCAATGACCGACGTGTCGCCGTGCCTGAGTACTGCGGCCAGGCAATGACCGACGTGTCGCCGTGCGTGCCTGACTACTACGGCCAGGCAATGAACGGGAGCTGCGATGGCCGCCAAGCCGGCGGAGCTCAGGAGGGCCAGCAGGCGCGCTCTCACTGACCGTCCGCTGCATCCTCCAGCCCCGCGGCGCGAGGCGACCACTGCCTTCACGCCCCCCCCCCCCCCCACCCCATCCCACACACAGATGTTCTCGACCAGCAGAAGCTCGCCCCATCGGCATCACGGCGCTCGTGCCAGTAGTCCTCCCCGCGTCCCCTCCTATCCCTCTTGCACAGCCCGCCTCCTCCTCGCCACCAGAGCTCCGCTCGCAACCGACCCACCCGCGGCCGGGAGGACCTAGCGCCTCACCCATCGCTGCCCCTCTCCTTCTCACCAGACACTGCACTTCCCCACCTCCGCGCAGCGGCCGGCGATGCTTGGCGAGGACGGCGAGGAGCGACCTGAGCCGGGGGCCGCTGCCTGCTCGGCGAGGGCATCCTACTCGAGAGGGCCGTCGAGCTCTTCACAGGAGGGGCAGAGCGCCTCCGCCGCCGTCCGGCATGCCACCGCTCTCGCCCTCGCCTCCATCAGCGCCGCCCCCGTCGCCGCCGCCCTCGCCGCCGCCTCCCACAATTCCACCGCCGCCGCCGCCACCCTCGCCGCCACCCTGGCCGCCGCCCTCGCCGCCGCCACCATCGTCACCGCCCTCGCCGCCGCCGCCCGCGTCTCCACCCTCGCCGGCGCCACCCTCGCCGCCGCCCTCGCCGCCGCCCTCGCCGCCGCCACCATCGTAGCCCCCGACGCCGCCCCCGCCCTAGCGGCGAGGTGCAGGTCGTCGCGGCGGACGGCGTGAGCCTCGCGTACCCCGGCACGTACGGCCTCCACGGGTGCGACCCGCACGACAGCGGGCTCGAGCCGTCCTGCAACTCGACCGGCTACCCCGGCTGGTGCGAGCACGAGTGGTGCTACGTCGACCCGGCCGCGTGCAACACCGAGTACAGCACGACCGCGTACGTGGTGGGCGCCACCCCGCACTACTTGTGCCGTGCGTGCGGCTTCAGCAACGAGTTCGAGAGCTGGTTCTACCAGCCGCCGATGCCGCCGCCACCGCCGCCGCCGCCGCCCTCGCCGCGGCCCTCGCCTCCGCCGCCCTCGCGTCGCCGTCGCCGCCGCCCTCGCCTCCGCCGCCCTCGCGTCGCCGTCGCCGCCGCCCTCGCCGCCGCTCGTCTGCCCGTGCCTCACCGCCTACCCGGCCGGCGTCAGCCTCGTGAGCGCCGAGGTGCATGTCGTCGCGGCGGACGGCGTGAGCCTCGCGTACCCCGGCACGTACTGCCTCCACGGGTGCGACCCGCACGACAGCGGGCTCGAGCCGTCCTGCAACTCGACCGGCTACCCCGGCTGGTGCGAGCACGAGTGGTGCTACGTCGACCCGGCCGCGTGCAACACCGAGTACAGCACGACCGCGTACGTGGTGGGCGCCACCCCGCACTACTTGTGCCGTGCGCGCGGCTTCAGCAACGAGTTCGAGAGCTGGTTCTACCAGCCGCCGATGCCGCCGCCACCGCCGCCGCCGCCGCCCTCGCCGCCGCCCTCGCCTCCGCCGCCCTCGCGTCGCCGTCGCCGCCGCCCTCGCCGCCGCTCGGCTGCCCGTGCCTCACCGCCTACCCGGCCGGCGTCAGCCTCGTGAGCGCCGAGGTGCATGTCGTCACGGCGGACAGCGTGAGCCTCGCGTACCCCGGCACGTACTGCCTCCACGGGTGCGACCCGCACGACAGCAGGCTCGAGCCGTCCTGCGACTCGACCTGCTACCCCGGCTGGTGCGAGCACGAGTGGTGCTACGTCGACCCGGCTGCGTGCAACACCGAGTACAGCACGGCCGCGTACGTGGTGGGCGCCACCCCGCACTACTTGTGCCGTGCGTGCGGCTTCAGCAACGAGTTCGAGAGCTAGTTCTACCAGCCGCCGTCGCCGTCACCGCCGCCCTCGCCGCCGCCGCCCTCGCGTCGCCGTCGCCCTCGCCGCCACCCTCGCCGTTGCCGCCCTCGCGTCGCCGCCGCCCTGCCGCCGCCGCCCTCGCCGCCACCGTCCTCGCCGCCACCGTCACCGCCACCCTCGCCGCCGCCCTCGCCCCCACCACCGTCACCGCCACCCTTTCCGCCGCCCTCGCCGCCGCCACCTCCGCCGCCCTCGCCGCCGCCCTGGCCGCCGCCGCCGTCGCCGCCTCCACCCTCGCCGCCGCCGCCCTCGCCA